GTTTTGGCCTGTGGAGTTTTGATCCGTCTGAACACAAATAGGGCGACGCTCGCATTTCGTGTGGCCCCGGGAGCACCCTTGCCGCAGCCGTATTGGCCTCGGCGGACTTGGGTTTCCCCGCCGGCGAGCGGGCCTGGGCTCGCTGAGAGGCCTGCGGCCTCCTCCGGCATCAGGGCCGGCCACCGACCCCTCCTGCCCCTTCCTCACCGAACACAGCTCCCTGCAGGCCAGACGTCCCTGCTGCCCTTGCACAGTGCTACCGTGGCAGGAGGGGGAATAATTAATCTTTCCTGCTAACATTTTTTCTTTTTTCAGAATTTTGGGGATACTGATTATCCTTTCGTCCTTTTGTCTATAAAGGAAATGCCTGTGCGATTCCCTGGAACAGCATAGGCTTGGCTCTGCGTTGGTATGCCTGTGGCACACACCAACACTTGCACTTTCCCCGTCAAGTTGCACTCTGTGCGGAAGTAGAATGCACAAACATTTCAGGCTAACTTTTTTACCTGTGTTAGCACTGGAGAAAGGTTATTTTTTGTAAACTTTTGTTACTTCCATATGATTGCACTGTGTTTCAGTGTAAGTCATGTGGAAGGATGAGTCCAGCATTTCCAGACTTGGATGTGCAAAGTTGTGAGGGATGCCTTTGGTTAACACTTTTGACAATCATCTTTGATATAGGTGCTTAAAATGCAGCATGCATGTTGCAACATCAAGGCCAAAGCCTGTAAATAGCCTTTCATCAGGCCTGCTTGTATAACCCACGTTAAAAAAAAAAAAAAAATCAATCAGCACTTAGATAAACATGCGCCCATGACTGCTCTGTTTGTTCTTAGTCTGTTGGTACCAACACCACTATAAAAATATCTGTGAAACAAAGCAGGATTCTAAATACTGACACAAAAAGGAATAAAGTTAACAGCTAGAATTCTGCCAACAGATTCCCTCATGGACTATAATATTATTAATGTGATCTAGAAAAGGGATTGTACAATTGAATGGCAGAAATTACTTCTGCTAATTGGAAGAGTGATAAACTAGTCAATACTAGGGAAGATTGTAAGAAGGGGAAATTATACAGGGACCCAGTACGGCTTTGTTACTGGGCAGCAAGATGGAAAAGTACTGAAAGATCTGTTAAATCACAACAAATTTTGTAGCTTTCCATCTGAAGAAATCTTAAAAAACATTTGAATATATGTAGTTGGACAGTAACACAGCTTTTACAAAGAAGTACAAACTAAATAATTGACTGTGAAATTTTGTAACATCTGTTTCTCATTGCCGTCTTCTTACTTAAGCTTTGCATTAACTAGGCTTGCAGTTCTAGTTTTAGACTGACTGTAGAAACTTCAGCAGGGATCCTGTTACTGGATTTTTGTTACCAGACTAAAAACCAGAAAAATAAATTCAATTGGCTACATGTTTTAAAGCCAACAGAGTGTGCTGGTGAAATATTGTAAGTCCCATTTTAAAGATTATTTTTCTTGTATTCTTACTGTTTTTTCATCATTTTAGTCTGTTGCTTACATTAATGAAAGTTAATGGGTTAGTGTGCAACTTAAATTGCCTTAAGGTAGTTTTGAAGTGAATCACTATCAAATTTCTTAATCTCTTCTCAGTCTTTGTTTACCCACTGTTCCTGCATGACGCGCTAAAGCATCCCAACTTTGCAAATACAGGGTGGAAGATAGATACCTTTACACTTTTAGGAAATAAAGCAATATGCCAAATTTTTCTTTGGGTTTGAACTTCCAGTGGCACACCTAGCACCTCTAAATGGAAAACCTGAAGAATGTTATGGGAACTGTTGCTGTAAACCTGTAGAGTAAATACTAAGGAAGTTACAGGGATAATCTGAGGTTTGGAATTTTAGTTCTCTGTATACACATTTGTACAGAAATGGGGTAGTGTCTAATACGGAAATTGATAAAAGTCAAAACTTAGAAGAAAATGAATTTGCTCAGGCCTGGTGCGGTCAGAGCTGACTGAAAGGAGTGCCCCTTTGTGTATGTGACAAATTCCAGTGCCACAAATGAGCCATTGGTCCATCTTGCCAGATTATTCCTCAATGGCAAACAGTTTTACAGAGCTGTGGCATAGGAGAGGTAGGTGGAGGCCATGGCATTTTGTTACCCCAGGCAACTGCCTTCCCTGCTTCTGTCTAGAACCAACCTAGACAGAGGACTTAAATAAAATAAGCCTCCTTCTATCCCTTTCAAGTGAACATACACATTTCTTATTAATTAGAATATTCTAAATAGTCTTCTCTCTTCTGTCACAATGTTAAATGAAGAGCAAAAATAAGCAGCTTAATGTTGCTCCTCGTATAACAGGGAAAACTCCACATAATTCACAAAGCTGAATGAATTTACTTTAAGAAACACTGAAACTTCCTGCCTTTCATGCAAATATAGTCCTAAATGTTTCTAACCTGCCTTTCAGATTGCAGAAGCTGAAGGAGATGTTTATATCAAAATTTGGATCATCTCCCAAGTTTTACGTTCGTGCACCTGGGAGAGTCAACTTAATAGGTAAAAAAGAAAAATTAATCTTCTGTTATTTTATCTGCCATCATGGAAGCCTAGTAATTTAAAACATAGAATCAAAATAATGTTGGTCTTAATTTTATTTTTTTCAGAGAAATTCCTTGTGATAAATGGAAAAGAGAATATAATACTTTACTAGCTTTTACTACACCTCGTTATAAATAACTGCACAGTGAAATACCAGTTTTGGAAAAAAAATTTATAGACAGTAGTGATGGTTTTGAAAATTGGAGAACTTGCCAGTTTATGGTTGGATACCATTTCTTTGAAAGGCTTTGGACATGTAATCTAAAGTAGTTGATGGACAGTGCATCCACAAATTAAATTTTTTTTCTCTTCCATTCTAATTTAAGTTGCCAAATATAACCAGCCACACAGCAATGCATATGATAAAGCATGAAATAATTCTACCATCGTCTCCTCTTCTTTACTCTTCCATAGACATATGTCCACAGAACTTAGAACAGTTGGTTGTGATTCACTGGCAGACTGGAGACACAATTATTTTGTATTTAGAGCTTACTTGTATTTCTGTGGCAGCCTTATTTTTGAGATTTCTCTATACTTATTAGGATTGTGCTCTCCTTAGAGCTCAATTTCTTATATTCATAAAGTAACCTTACACATTTGAAGACATTGCAAGTAAAAGGATCCTGCAAACCAGAGCTTTAAAAATTAATTAGTCCATTGTGCAATTAATGATAATTTTTATCTCAGTGATGTGTGAACTTACCATATAGATTAAATAGGCAGTACATGCAAACCGGGAATTATTCCTAAGGGATTTTTACTACATGGATTTTCTATCTGAATCTTACTTTATATGTTGTATGTAACTGTATTAATGATTATTTAAATACAGTTATCTTCTTGGAAAAGGTCCAGAAATCTTACGAAAAAAAAAAAAAAGTAAAATTTCCACCACAAGCCTAATCCAGTGGCTAATGAATCACCCACATGAGCAGAGGAAGTCACATAATGGGTAGTCATGTGGTGCCTTTATCTCTTCTAGTCGTCAGTTAAACGTGATTGATTTGACTTAATTTTTTGTACTGTCAAAACAGTGTACAAATAATGTGGCTCTTCTCATTGCTGGACAACAATCTACATAGTGTTTTTTTTGTTTTTGTAAGCCAATGTTAAAACATGAAAATTTATAAACAGATGCAATAGATAAAATCACTAAAGAAACAATTGTGCAGTAACATGAAATGGAGGAAATGCACCCCGAACTTTAAATAAGAGTTGAGACTATACTCAGAAATTGTCTTGTACAGTAAACAACACTGAACCCCTGTAGAAGCCCTGCTACTGCTATTCTAGAAATAATTATTCCAAAATATTTTGTCTGTTTCTTCCATAGGAGAACATATAGACTACTGTGGTTATGCTGTGCTCCCTATGGCTATAGAACAAGATATACTGATTGCAGTAGAACCTGTAAAAACTGAAGTTGTGCAACTGGCAAATACCAATTCTTTGTACTTGTAAGTAACTACTTTGTTTATTCACTAATTTTTATGGACTTCTATATGCAGGTGCAATACAGGTTAACTTCTCAGAGATCTGACAAACTTCCATTGTAATACAGAGTTCAATTGTGTAAACTGAGTGATATAAGCAGGTGGAATCCTGTTGACTGTATACTGTGCATATTAGTTTAGAGCAATAGGTTCACTGCTTCTGTCTCCCACATAGAATCGTTTAGGTTGGAAAAGACCTTTAAGATCATCAAGTCCCAACTGTTAACCTAACACTGCCATCCTACCACTAAACCATGTCCCTAAGCACCTCGTCTACCTGTCTTCTAAATACCTCCAAGGATGGGGACTCAACCACTTCCCTGGGCAGCCCCTTCCAGTGTCTGACCACCCTTTCTGTGAAGAAATTTTTCCTATCTAACCTAGCCCACCTGTTTGCTCAGATTTCTCTTGTGAGGCCTCTGATCTTTCAATCTTTCTAAAAGTGCAATCCTGTCTTCCCTTCTTTTAGCTTATCTTTCTTGATGTAATCCCCATAATTGGCAGCAGTTCAGTTTCTCCTGGAGAAGGGAGTGAAATGTTTTGTAATCAATTACCACATATGTAAGCTAACACTCCCCTGCTCTGGAGAACGTGGGGCTGTATTTTCAAAACACAATGGCTTTAGCAACAATCCTGGCTCAAAGAATCTGTATTCCCTCTCTTCCACTTTCTCCACAGCTGCTTGTTCCCAGAATCATAGACCGATTTAGGCTGGAAGGGACCTTTGGAGATCCCTTGTAACCAGATTGATGGCCTTCTGCTGGACTCCCTGCAGTTTGCCAGTGTCTTTCTTGTATTGGGAAACCCCAAAACTGGATGCAGTGTTCCAGCTATGGTCTCGCAAGTGCTGAACACACGGAAATAATCCTGCCATTCTTTTCAACTTCAGCCACATTTTTCTGCCTTCTTCCTTGTAACAGACTGATATTTGTGTGGTTGCATGGCAGCTCAGATCAGGTTACTCATCCACATGAACTTTTGTGGGCATTTTGCAAAAATCAGAATCAGCACAAGCTTAGTTTAAGCCATTTTTATTAAGCCATTGGTTTAAGGCAATGGTAAATTGCTCCCTGAAAGCACAGCGTATGGCAGCACAGGGACAAGAACAGATTGCCAAAAGTGGGAACTATTTAAGCACTATTTAAGCTTAAAGCTCTGTTTGTTACAAAAACATGTTTTGAGCTGCTGCCTGCGACTAAGGCAGTTGAAAGGAATTTTTACTTCCAAGTATAAATAGTCAAATATTTTTCACTCGCTTTGTGGAGTGTGTTTTCACGTTATAGCTGGGCTGAATTAAGAGTTTGCCACCACCAAAAGGTGATGGCTTGCTCCTTTAACCCGCAATCTCCCGGTCCCTGCTTCTAGCATTGCTCCATCCTCTGCCTTTTACCAGGTGTAGTACTTGTCTGATCTTACGGTAAAGTGCACTATTCACCCATTTTTTGCCTGGTTAATTTTCTGTCATTGAATTGAATTGCCATGCACTTAGCACTAAAGCTGACTTGGGGTAAACAGTGGGAACATGCAGTCGTGAGCAGGGGAAAAGGAAATGGAAGACATGAGTTGGACACTTCCCTTTCTTCAATAGCAACCCACAACAGGGCTTAACGCTGTATTGCAAAACCATTCTGCAAGAGGTGATAGTTCCAGAATTATAATAGCTTTGGTTAGGAAAAGTTCCTACCAAATCCAGGATTACAGCCTTTTGAATTCAAATTGCATACACAGTCACTGTATTTTTATATCTGCCCTGGCTTCAGTTTGAAATCGTATGTTTTAAACCATAAACCAAGAAGATGTCTCAGAATGCAGGATTAAGCATCTCTTTTGTTGAGATGCTGTTGCTTAAAAGCAAAGCTAAAACATGTCCGTAATTTCATAACAAAGAAATATTTTTCAACACTTTGAATGCTACACCACATAACAAAACTGTTGACAGTATATCTTTTTTTTTCTCAGCCTGCCACACTGGTAGATTTATGCCTGTGGGGAATGTATATATATAGGCCTTTGGTGAACAAGGACTAACCATAAGCCACTGTAGAATCACTGTTTCCTATTTCATTCTTGATTTGCGAACTGCTAAAATGTTTAACACTTCTGTAGCCCTCTTCCACCCTGATAGTTCACATTAACTTTTAGGAAAAACAGGACAGAGAAGAGGTTGCAAGAAAAAACACCTATGTGTTTTTCATCATAAATCATTCCAACTAATCAGATGCCTTTTATGTTACTAGGGCTAAAACAGGATTCAAAAGGTATAGTCTTTTGATGTTCCCAATACCTTCCCTTCACATAACATCTTTGTAATTGAGAAGTACGTGTACAGAGAATATCTGGTATGATACTTCTCCAAATGCCTTCAGAAATGCCAGAGGATGATAATTATCAATGGCCTTCCATCTCGTGGCAAAACCTGAAAAGCTTTTTTTAAAAAAATAAGTGGTTTGTTTTTTGGGTTTTTTTTTTACAGAGGAATCAAACAGGTAAACTAACAGATTGACAAGACAATGAGGTTCTGTGAGAAAGAATTAAATTGGTCTCCCAAAAATAAGGATTAATTACAATTCAAGTAGAAAAAAAACCACCTCAGCCACATGTTTTTTTCACACTATTCAAAAAGCTCACCTCTTCTAATTATACAGAAGAATTGGAATGCTTGGATTCTTGGAGAAGGGTCAGGCTTTCCCAAGAATCCTTTAAAACAGAAAGGCTGGAACAGACAATATCAGAGTATTTTTACTTTATGGGTATGTTTTTCCCAATTTTTAATTTTATTTTATCATAAAGTTCTTGTATCAAACTGCCTATCTTCTGTAGGAGGATCAAAGGCAAGACCGAAGATTTACTGATTTAAGATAAAGCTTGGGCATTTAGGAATTGGGTTTTATAAAAAATTGAATGTGATAACAAAAAAATTAGACTTAAGGATTCTGGGGATCTTGACAGTCCCACATTCTGTGTTTGTGTGAATTATGTCCATTTGAAACCTGCCAAAATCAAAGCCAATTTTTCTTTCATTTTCTATGCGAGAAGATTGCAGAAATGAGCAAAATGCAGTTTAAGAAGTCATTATTTTAATTTTTCTTGAGAACCAGCAAATATAATCATAGTATATGTCTTCTTGTTCACTGAAGTTCTACTTTATCTGATTGTATAAAAAGAATTATGGAGATAAAATATTTTTGAAATCTTTTTGAGGGAGAGAGGACTTCACATTTGCTTTTGTTAATCACTTTTACACATTCAACTCCATCTGCCTTGCTTTTTTACAATAATAATTTAAGATTATTGTAGAAAACAAGCATAAGCAAACACAGGATTTTTAAAATTTTTGCTACTTTTGACAAGTATTTTCTATTTTATAAGTACTTCTGGTTTTTTTGCTATATTCAAAAGCCGTAAGCAAAACTATGTTGTTTTATTCTTTGGGAGATTGTTCTAAATACACATGAATCTCAAATTGGAAGGTTTTACAGCTATTCTTAAGCTTTCTGTGTATTGTAATCGCAGTACTTCCTTTAAGATCTCTTGTGTTATTCTACAAACCCCAGTAATTTCTGACACTAATTTGTACAATTCTTTGTTGCTTGCATTGTTGGTAAAGTCCTGTAAGTGGCACTATTTTGAACAGTTCAGACTGAAAGACAGCAACTTCTATGTTAAACTCTACACCAATCTTTGATATTTCTGCACTGTATTGAATGTTGAAATTGAATGTATAGCTGACAAAATGATAATTCTAAGTTGACACTTAAAGTGTAAGATCTGTAACGTAACATTGAGCTAGGAATAGGTTGTAGAGTGGTAATACAAGTGGAGTAGCTCACTACAGCATAGCTAGCATTAGACCACATGAAGAGGAGGCGGGATTGCAGGTCTGTTTTTACAATGGTGGTCAGCTTTGGGGCTTGCATAACACAAAAATTGCAGCCTTTAACTGCACCAGAATAAAGCAAAGTTTTCAGGCATCAATTGAAGACAATTACTTATCATTGTAAAGATGCTTTATATTAGTATAACTGTTGCTCCGTAGGTAACAATACTTTTCTGATAAAAACACCTTCACACTGGTATTCATTACAAGTATTAACTAGCGATATTATTTTGGATAAAAATAAAACCAGCTCATGACTAACCTACACAGTTTACAGAAACATACAGGGACTAGTTTAAGAATGAAAAATACCACCCTCTCAGGAGTTGCAGGCTATCCCCTGCTGTATTTCTTGAAAGTGTTTTTATTCCCATTAAACCTAAATATTTCCAGGGAATTCAGCTGCCTCTGTTCATATTGTTTGGCAGACCTTGCCTTGTAAAGCACAGCTTAGCCTACAACTTCTGAATATTTTTGTTAGCTTTTCTTGACATTCTCAGTGGCTTTCCTCTTTCTGTACTGGGCATTTGCTGTAAAGAATGGAATTATAGAATCATTTAGGTTGGAAAGGACCTTTAAGATCATCAAGTCCAACTGTTAACCTAACACTGCCATCCCACCACTAAACCATGTCCCTAAGCAAACCATGTCCCTAAGCAGTTATTGGGCATCCACTAAACAATCTGCACTTCTTGGTGATTGATGCATGCTCCTCTGAGGCCTCTCTGCATCACTCCATGCCCGTTTTGACAGCACCTGTCTGTAGCATTAGTTTCTTTAGGAACATTCAGGCTTATCTTTTTTATTATTTTGAAATTAAGATGGAGTAGGAAAACCATTATCAGAATTATTGTGGAGGAAATAGATAAACTTTTAAACTAAATTATTTTAATTATATCTTGTAACATACATGATACAGTTTTGCAGCATTGGGTCTGTTTTAGTGAAGTGCCATTTGGAGCAAAGATAATGAAGATGAATTCCTGAGCAGAGATTACCAGAGAGTCTGAAGTGTATTTATCTCTATTCTAGGTTTGACAGATACGCTTCTTTAGATTTTCACTTCTCTAAGAGATGAAGAGAACATCATACACACGTGATGGAAGGCATGCTGCCTTAATTAAGGGTGCCAAAGGCAGTTTAGTTTCTGAACTTATTTAATAAATTCTGTTACTTAGGCAAAAATTCTTCTGCTTCCATCTAAAATATCCTTATAGACTTGATAAATAGAGAAGATCTGTACAAAACCCCCTGAAAAACATTGCACTGAAAAAAAATTAACATCAAAATGTTTTTGTTCATCAGCAGGTGGCAGTAATAAGCCATGTTATCTCAAACTAAATTTACTGACAAGTTAAAGCCTCAAGGTTTTTCTCTTTTTGCAGGGATTTCAGTACCAGTGTTAATAACATTCAGATTAACAAAACCAAACCTCAGTGGCATAACTACTTTCTGTGTGGACTGAAAGGTATTCAGGTAAGCCAAATGCATTTAACTTATGTAATTAATGTAGAAGTAAAATACAACAAGCGTATCTCTTCACCCTCAAAATACTTCCCTGCATTCTGTAGCTTTTCTTGACATGCAGTTAAGTATTTTTATATTAAAATTTGAAGAGGAGATAAATAAAATATTTTAAAAATATTTGCAGATCACAATTTTAATTTTTATTACATAAATTACAATAGCAAATAATTACTCACTTGGTAAAGTCATGATCAGACTCATCATCAAGATGAGATTTCTGTATTTTGAAGTTAAAAAGAATGCTTCCCAATGGAATAATCTAATTAAAATTTGCTTTTAAAAATATTTGGAGGCTTGTCTGTCAGGACACAAAGATCATATTTTCGTCCTTTTCTTCCTGTTGAAACATTTTAAAAAACGTAATTTCCATTAATGTTGGAAACATACAACGTGTACACAACAACTGAGTGAAGCTGACACATGCAAGTAGGCAAAAGAAAATGTAAAAAGTAAGTAAAGAGCATCCAGAAGAAATATTCCAGTAAGACCATTACTTATCTAGATTTTCAGTGTGTGGAATTTGAACAGGATTTTCAAAATTTCCTGAGTGCAGCTATGCAGGAAACGGCACACTTACTGCAAAGGCAGGAACACTGAACAGACAGACGTTTTCCTGTCTGCTCATTCGAGCTTTGTCTTCTCCTTTGTGAGCTAGCCTGTCTCCAGACTGACTTGAAGACTGATCTGCTTGTGAAGCCAAGTGCTGATCATCAGTGTTGTCCTGGGAGGCAGCCTGAAGTCACAACTGAGGCTTCTTTTAAATCTCACCTGCTGTTTGCAGGTGATTCATGGCCCTTTGAGGAAAAAACATGGTGACTTCTCACCTCAATGTCAATCCAGGGATATTTCTGGAAAGGCAGACAGGGTAAACAGCGATGGCTAGGTCAGGAACAGGTCACCACAGCCAGACCAAATTATGGGTAAATGTGCTTTTTAAAGCATATGAAGCTTGCTTCAGGATAGGCCATCTATGTTGCCCCACAGGATGATCCAATAGATAAGGACTGCAGACAGCCAAGAAAGCCTGCCTCAGACCTGCCACCAGAGTCTTCAAAATACAATATTTGGAACAATCAGTGCCACAAATCACTTTATTACTTTATTATTCCTAAACAGATGCCCACCTCTGTGTTTAGACCCCAATAAATTACTTAATGTTCGCAGTAACATATTTTCAATTTTGTATTGCTCAGTAACCCAGGCATTTAAATTGCATTGACTGTAGAGATATAGATTAGGTTTCTTTACAATATATCCTTTCTTACATTAAGGCTAGCCTGACCAATTGACTTTTTTTATTTTGCAGTCTGCTACTGAGATTTGTTTCCTAAGGACAAGCTTTCATACTTGAAGGTTAATTTGCAAAGCAGGTTTGCAGACTCTAGCACTGGCAGAAAATGTTACAGACTTAAGAAACAGTGAAATACAAGTACTCAGAGGGTCCAGCGGGATAATCTGTTTATATTAAGTTGAACATGCTATCCTTTTGGGACAGAACTATTGCAGAACTTGGCAAAGTCCATTTTCATTTTTGAAACTGAAGTACGTTTTCTATTTAAACATTGCGTGATAAGTTTGCAAGCCTGATTCGCATTCAAGCCAATCAAGAAACTGCATCAGTTTCTGGTTACTCAAGCATTTTCTGTTTTTGAACAAGCCTGTCTAGTGTACTTCATGAAGGGGCATGGGCAGCAATAGTATTCCAGGTATGAATTCCCTTGTATTTGTAGAAAGGGAAATTTAAAATAATTTGAAGTGATGGTAGAAGACATTAGAGGAGGCTCTTTGTGTTTGCTAATCTCTACCATTGGTATTTATGGTTGAAGTTGGTTCAGAAAGAGTAGTAGAAAGCTTTTGAAGGTGGGCATTTCTTTGTGGAAACATTGCTATTTTTTCTGACTATTGACATTATAACATAGTTTATTGACATATAAATCTGCATCAGAATGTAGCTATTCATATACCCCCATATACATTCAATGATTTTTTAATAAGTACTGCGTGTTTATTTCAAACTAACAACAGAGAGGAATTTATATTAAAGTGATTATAAATAAAAACACAAATCAACTAAAGAGTATAATTAAAAGTGTAGGTACATGAGGATTTATGACTTCTGGATTAAATGTATTATCTGTGACACCTATCATGTATGTAAAAATATTTTAAACTTTATTCTAAAAATAGCATGGCAGAGACCATCACTGCGGGTAGGTATGTCTTTGTGCCTCCTAAAGCATAGTGTCCTTCAAGTACCATTGTAGTTTGCTCAGTGTCAGGCCTGTGGGTGCTTCAGGAGATAGGTGTATCTGGCTTTGAATACAGGTGCATGGCTACTAGTTCCCCATCAGCATGGTGTGGCTCCCTAATACCACATGCCAGCATTAGAAGTGGACCTTAAGCTCTTCAGGGTGTCTTAAGTGAGGAGCTGTGGAGAAAAGGACAAAAGTAGGGTATGAAATGATTGGTAACCTCTGGTACTGTCACCACGGCAGCTCAGAGCTGCTGTTGCTCAGAGCCAGTTGCTGCAAAACCCACCCACGAAGCTTGGTAAATGCTTGGGCGTTCAGCCCATACTGAATTCTGCTTGGGGTAGAGTTCTGTCAGCTCATATATGTTTGTGTACAGGAACTGCAGACATACCTTTGGCTGAAGCCCTACCATTGGCTTTGTTCTTGAGGAGTAGAATGAAAATTTTGCTTTATTTTGGAGATACCAGAAGCAGGTCCTTGGTTCCAGCAACTCAGCAGAAAGATTCTCTTTCTAAGTATCAGATAATTGCAAGCCTGAGCCTGTCTGTACTTGAAACTGAGATTGTTTATTTTTTCATTGTTAGGAACATTTTGGTCTTAATAACCCAACTGGAATGAATTGTCTGCTAGATGGAACCATCCCTCCAAGTTCTGGTCTCTCTAGCTCCAGTGCTTTGGTGTGCTGTGCAGGACTCGTGACACTAAGAGCTAATGGAAAAACCCTCTCTAAGGTAATTTACTGTAAAACATGAGAGTGTCAGCAGTAAAATTCTACTTAAAATTAAATATTGTTAATGCCTGTAAACATTAAAAACACGATACAATTGTTTTTGCAAAGAGTTGTTGGATATAAACTTAAAATATTGCACAATTGAGCAAACATCTTTGGCCAAATTTTGGCAGGATCTGAATTTGGCAAGAAAACAGACTTACATTAAAGCTGAAAAAAGGAGCGTTATTGTAAGCCTGTATTTTGGCCAACTATCAGGTCCATGCCTGGACCAGATGTGCTATCAGCAGGCCAGGATTGAGGATATATGTGCTGAAGCATGTGGACCACACCCCCGAGGCCTTTACCCTCTCCCTGAATGACTTTTCGTGGCTTTAACAGCGTAGCATCTGTTGGAGGCCTGTGGAAGAATTTCTTGATAAATTATATAATCAGCACAAAGTAGAGGTAAAATTCTTCCATCTGACTCTCCTTATTCTCTTCACAGTTTTTTTGGAATGAACATATTTACAATCCAAATTGTATTCCTCACTTTTTTAAACAAACATTAGTCTAAAAACAAACCCCAAGTATGTGACCTGTTAGCATTACAACCGTTAGTAGAATTTGGCTCATGTAAAAAAATTTCTGGACGAGTCATGGTCCTTGAAGGTGCCATATGGGAATGAAGTTCTCTCCAGTAAAAATATCTGGTTAAGTGAAACTAGAATCTTAAATTAGAACATTGTCAGGAAGAGAAAAGAACAGATCTAAATGTGACTGTTATGCATATTTGTGCCTATTGTCTAAGGCAGACATTCCCAAACGGTGGTACAGAGCCAACTTAAAGTGGTACATGATGATGGCAGCTGTTAACTGTGCTTGTATACAAGCACTTATCTGAGCCATGAGGTAAACAGATCCACACAGAAGGTTTTTGCTGATCAGTTGTGACTTGCTTCTCGATGTAGCTGCAGCGATCCGCTCAGCGGTAGGTGCTCCCTCCCACACTACACAGTTCACCATGCTTACTTCGGGAAGACATCAAACAGGGTTAAGGCAGCAAGAAGCAGGATTGGTGAGGCAGGGTGGTTTTTTTACATAGGAGGATGTGGCTACAGTCACTGTCACCCTGCAATTTGTTCTTGTGATGTGTGGTCAAAAGGAAAGTAAGGGATTGGACACTTAACAGAGGCTCTAGTTTGTGAGGTGAGACATATAGTGCAATGGTAGGTGAAACCATGGAATTCAGGATCCCACTTTGATGAATGAGACTTTGCAGTAAGAAGGTTGGATGTGACAGACATGCTTTTTTATACATGTGTACCTGGCCTGGCAAGAAGCTTCTGGGTTTGCATAGATGGTCTTACCACAGGTCAGCACCATCTCTGATGGTGGTAACTAGATGAGCTAAGCTTGGGAGCTACTGATCAAAATCACTGGAGTGCATGTGTTCAGAAATTGGGTGTCTGCAAAATCCATAAAACCGACAGAGGTCAGAAAGCCCCAAATTTACTAGGCAGTAGAAATCTGTATCTGCAAAACCAGAAGCCAGGTTTTCATTATTCCAAGAAATACTGCACAGTTTTCAGAGAATAAATGATACAGCATGTAGCTTGAGCTGAATTGACACATGGCTTGGGAGTACCGGCTGGCATTATGCCAGACCTGTTCTAAAGAAAGGTGCAAAACTCCTTTTGGCTTTTTCATAGAAACTTGTGGAGGAACAGAAGGAAGATGGAGACTCCACTGAATGTCTTTCCTTCTCCTCATGTGTCCTGCTCAATGAACCCCAAATGTCTTCTGCTTGCTGGTTGGAAAATGTGCGGAAAGTTAATCTTGTGTCTCAGGTATAGTTGGACAACACAAGAGGCACAATTGCACATTTTTGTCAGGAAATCCTGATGTCTGCAGCCAAATATTTTGCACTTGTGATGAAAAATGAGCAATTAATGTACAGATGAGAATTCCCAATAGCCAACATAGGAGCACGGTTAAGAACATATGCGTGGTTTTGTGTGATTGCATAGACCAAGACACCTGGTTGTGGTGTTTAAGACAGAGGATGACAGCTCTGAAGACTGATTACTTTTGTCCAGGCTCTAAGTTTCCCCAAATCTTACAGGACAGTAAAAACAAGTTCAGTGTTCTTGGCTAATTTATGATTTAGCATTAGAGACCTCTTATATCTAGCTAAATCCAGGTTCTCTGTTGCACTGAATTTATGCTTAGCCTCGCAGAACTGCGTTGTATAAGGCAGAGCTAGTCTGAATATAAATTAGAGCAATCTAGGCATGTGAGCCCTCAGAAGTATAAAACGTGCTCTGGCCACTTCTTTCCAGCTCCTAATGCATCCTGCACTGGTGTCAAATGGTATCTGTGCAGGATCCAGTAATGCTGGCTGTGTATCAGCTGGGAGCTCCCCCATGGCAGGGGAATTCTTAGCTAACCAGAAATAGGGACTTTCCAGATACTTTCTACTGCAAGGAAACCAGAACCTTGCATTTTTAGGGCTCTGGATATTTATGTGTTCGTTTATTTTTAAGGAAGAAATATTGCTTTACCTCTCCTGTCCATCTTTTTTTTTCAAATGCTTAAGAGTTGCGAAAGTTGTAAATGGTAGTATTTATAAGTAACGATACTGGTCATGGTGGTAATTTTATGAGAAAAGATTGACTTTTTGCCCCTCATTAGTCTGATGGACTTTGCAAAATCTTAGTGTGATGGTCTGTAGCAGCAGGACATAGAAACTTTTGGCTTTGGAATCAAATTTGGCTGAATTGTAGGGCTTCTGTAGCCAAAGTTATGAAAAAATGACCTTTTACTGAATGGAACATTTATCTGTTTTGTTTCTGTGAAACTATTTTTATGAGAATATTTGAGTTATATGCTCTTTTTCCTGATAAATATGTTTAAAATAGTAGCTGTAGAGTAAAAGTTGTTGAAATTCTGAGCTTTTATGAGATAACACTTCCAGTGTGAAGTTTGGGCCTATGAGATTAAGAGCAAAAGAACCCAAAGTGAAAAATACTGTAAAAGCATGGCTAGAATTTCATGGTGGCTTACTTTAAAAATAGCACTTTTTTGACGTTGAAAATAAAATCAGAAAAAAATATGCTCTCACTAATTATTTTGTGTAGCAGTCTGCAATAGGGCATTGTTTCAATGTGCATACAATATATTTTTTTTAAAAACCCATCACACACATACACAATAGTTTAGGGAAAATACTAGTCCAAGACAATTCAGCCAGATGTGCAGTGCTAACCACTTGCAGCAGTGCAATAGCATTCAAATAACAAGATGGAAAATTTAGAATGCGATCTTTAAAAAGAATCCATTTTTCTCCTCCAAACAGGATACCAGTCTGAGACTCTGTTGGCATCAGTCAAAGAACAGCAATGTTCAGTATTAGCTTTTGATTTTAAAGTGATTTTTATTTTACTGTTACAAAATCAATCTTTTGTACAACTTTTCATCAGGAGAAGATACTTTTTGTAAAGGAAACAGAATAATACTCTAAATTGTCCCAGCTTTGTGTTTCATAGTAGGAATTAATGAGTACAGAAAATCACTTAGTACTTTTGAATAACTAGATTTACTTGAAAGATGTGATGATAGTGTTGCTGTCCAAATGTTAAATCTTGTGGTACTAAGTTCTGTTCAGCCACCCTAACATTTTTTCTGTTGCTTATGGCTGGGCAGCTGTGCACATACTTATTGGAAAAATAGATCAAAAGCAGATAGGGTTTATTTAATTTAATGTGAAATGTTGAGCATAGGAAGCTGAATTATATTTGGCTGTTTCTAGACTGAGAAAAATCTAAGTCAGACAGATAAATAAAGGACCTAGATCTAATCTCTAACGGCACAGTGTCCATTGGCTTTGATTTTCTCAAACTACGGCTCAGATGAATTTGAGTGTGGGATTTTCAAAACATTCAACATTGTCCTGTATTTAAACAGTTACAATACCTGGTAATGTCATTGGTTTCAGTGGGAGACTAGAGGGGCCAATTGGAATCCTTTATACTTTGTTTCTAAAGGCTGTATATATTAAGGAAAGGGCTCTAATTTAATACTTTACCACTTCCTAATAATTTTTCTGATATGCAGTGGGGCTTTAATATCTAGCTATCTGGCAAGAAAATCTGTGAGAGCACAAGTCTTATGAGGAGCGGCTAAGGGAACTGGGGTTTTTTAGCCTGGAGAAGAGGAGGCTGAGCGGAGACCTTATCGCTCGCTATGACTGCCTGACAGGAGGGTGTAGTGAAGTTGGTGTCCATCTCTTCGCCCAAGTAACAAGCAATAGGACAAGAGGAAATGGCCTCAAGTTGTGCCAGGGAAGGTTTACATTGGATATTAGGAAAAATTTATTCACTGAAAGGGTTGTTAAGCCTTGGAATGGGCTACCCAGGGGAGTGGTCGAGTCCCCATCCGTGGAGGTATTTAAAAGACGGGCAGATGAGGTGCTCTTGGACTTGGTGATCTTAAAGGTCTTTTCCAACCTAAATGATTCTATGGTTCTATATTGATAGTGTGACTTTGAAATTAATAATGTAGGCTGATAGTACTGGTTAGAGTTATCTTATAATACTGCTGCATCAAAAATGTTTGATCATAGAATCATAGAATTGATAGATGCATGCTCAGGTTATTTCTTTGAGAAACTCAAATTGCGTCCACAAAAAATGGTACATAGATATTGTATTGTAAAGTACTGTTAATACTGAGAAATGTTAAAGTTCCTTTCTCCCTGTAGAACTAAAAACCAGGGTTCTTTAACTTGTTAATTTTGACTGTGTGTGTTTGTAATCAAGGGGAAACAGAGTACTTTGGAGCAGTGGTAATCAAAGGCCATAATCTCTCATCAACCAAATTGATAACCTTATATTTGAGCATGTTAGAGGGCAGACAAAGTCAAGCTAAGATTGCTGTGCTTATGAGGACATCCAGATACTATCTGACATATTTTCCCATTTTGGAAAAAAGTAAGCATAATTACCTTGCAAAACATATATG